AAGGAGGAGAAGCAGAAGTACACAAGGGTTTAGAAAGGAGAGGGACGAATAGATTGAATCTGCTGGCCCACTCTTAATATTTATATGTTATGTTCACTAATTGTAGAAAAAGGCAGAATTGCCCTTAATGCTTACATGGCAAATAAAACAATAATAAGCTGAAGTAAAAGCTGTCTGAAATAACTACCAACTAACACTGATATAACTAACAAAGATTACATGTGCTGTCATACGAACACAGTGGGGACCACAGCCGTGGGCCCCACATCAGTGTTCTCTACAGATCCCTAAGGAAATCTCTCATGTACTTCTCTAAGCACCTTGCTACCCTAGAAGGGATTCTAAAGGTTGAAAGGAAATAGGTGGGGAGGTTTGCCAGTGTGGCTCTAACCAAGGTTATTCTTCCACCCAACGAAATATAATTCCTCTTCCGCAGGGCTAACTTCCTATCGGACCTTTCTAAAACTGGTTTCCAAAACTCAACTTACCTAGGGTTTCCTCCTAAAGGTAGACCTAGGTAACTGATAGGCCAGCTTCTGATCTCACACCCCAAGATCTCAGCAAATCTTATTAGTTCTCCTTCCTCCAAATTAACCCCTACAATTCCACTTATAGTCCAATTTATCCTCAGCCCTGTTGCTCCCACAAAACTATTCAGCATCACCTTCAGATTTTCCACCACTTCCTCATTGTTTCCTTCACAGAAAAAAGATGGTGTCGTTTGCATTCCTATCATTATCCCTTCCCCTTTGTTTTCTTTTCCTACTTTACCGCAGGTTTAGAATTTTTCATATTTAAATAATTCTATTATGTGCAGCATGTTTGTTCTCCTCAAAGGACGAAGTGTGAAAGAATCTTTCAGAATTGGGCAGGAGATTGCATCTACCATTACTGCTATGAATCCCCATCCAGTCACCTTGAAAATGGAGAAAGTATATCACCCCTGTTTCCTCCTTACTAAGAAGCGCTACGTTGGTTACAGCTATGAAAGTCCAGACCAAACAGAGCCTACATTTGATGCTAAAGGTATCGAAACAGTACGGAGAGATACATGTGGGGCAGTTGCAAAGACATTGGAACAATCATTAAGGCTTTTTTTTCAACACCAGGACATTTTGAAGGTCAGAATGATTGCATTTTACTTGTTTCATATAACATATACTTTCAAAGGTAAAAGATTAGGCTGTACTTGAGAAGCTTTTTGATTTTTGTGTTTGATTTTGAACATAGTTTTTGAGTCTCCAAGGCGAGGCTAGGCGACAATGGAGTGCCCTGGCACCTAGCTCTCGCCTAGGCGATGGAATTTAAAAATAAGAAGCCGATGGATTTCTACCCCTTCCGAACTAGTTTTTTTGGTTTTATGTATTCTGCACTTACTTTTGTGCTTGTGTTTCTTGATGAGAACACTTACTAAAATAAAAGAAGAAAATGAAGAAGAAAAGTAAGGGGTGGAGCCCCTGTTCTAGACCCAGAAAAGCTGGTGAAAAAATATTAAAATAAAAAAAGAAATATGAAGAAGAAAAGAAGGGGTGGAGCCCCTGTTTTAGACACCAATGATGAGAACAAAAAAACAGCTGAAAAATGCAAGAAGTTAAGAACAAAAGAAGGGGACGGAGCCCCTGTTCTAGACCCAGAAAATCTGGTGAAAAAATACTAAAATAAAAGAAGAATATGAAGAATAAAATAAGGGGTGGAGCCCCTGTTTGCCCCCTGTTTCAGACATTAATAATGAGGGGAAAAAAAGTTGAAAACATGCGAGAAATTTAAGAACAAAAGTAGGGGGTGGAGCCCCTGTTTTAGTCCAATAATATGATTCAACAAGGAAAGAAGGATGGGGTGGAGCCCCTGTTTTAGTCCAACAAAAAGGAAGATGAGAAAAATGGGGCGTAACCACTGTTTTAAACCAGTGGAAAAAGAGAACAAAACGAAGGAGGAAACTAATTAACTCACCTTGACTTAGAGGACTGTGTTGGAATGATGGAGGGCTGTTGTTCTCTCCTCTTCCTCAGTTCGATTCTTTTGTCAAAGTGAAACCAAGATTATTTTGTTTTTACTTTCCTCACAACAAAAACATGATAACATGCAACAGGTCCTATTATAAAATCTAAAACCAACCAATAAAATATTATATATTTTATATTTATTTTATTTAATAAATATTATATATTATATATGTGTTTCAGTCCCCTAAGCATGCACTTAATATATTTTTTCTTGGCGTTTGGGCGAGGCGCTCTTTGAAAAGCGCCTAGTCGCCTAGGCACCCAGCTTGACAACTATGATTTTGGAAACTCAGAGATGAATCAGTGTAGATCTGATAATCACGAGGATATGGCACTAAACTGAAAGGAATGGTGAAACAGGATTCACGTAGCTGACCCCATATAGTTGGAACTAAGGATTAAAATTTCGTCATGTATCTGGGCATATCAGCCGATATGTATCGTATCAGTGACCCTCCAATACACCCCTATACTATGTGTTTCGGGGTCTGATTTACTTCACGGGGTAGACAGGCCTTAAACCGACCACCCTGAACTGTATAGATGTTTTGAACCTTGGTTGGGACAAGGCTTAGACAATGATGATGATAATGATAAGAGATGAACCATTGTTATACTTGAATCATACATCAGTTTGAATGGCTGGTTAGAGGAGGTTTGGTATCATACAAGCTGAGAATAATGCAGTTAGGTACTTCAGGAGCCAAAAGAATCATCACCAAATTCAGGTTTCCAAGGTGTTTTCTAGATTGGAAGAGGGTTTTTTTGGGTGGGTCCCAACAAAGTGGTGAAAAAAATCCAAGAGATCAACAAAAAGAAGTAAAGAAGACCTCACTCGAGCTTTTCAAGCTGTTATGTAATTCTGTTCTTCTGTATTGGTTGAGGGTTGGTGTGTTTCTTGGTGGTGTTTTAGATGGGTTTTTCTTGTCTTTTCTGATTTTTTAAGGGTTGGGGTAGTGTTGTGTGATGAATTTGGTCAAAGGGTCTAAATTGTAGCTTAGGGGCGATGCTTGGGGGTAATTTTTTGGGTGGAGTCTGCAAGTTTGTTTCTCTCTCTCAGGTGATTGTTTATCACCTATCTTGTTTATTTTAATAAAATTTTTCTTTTTATCTTTAAAAAAAATCATTAGGGAAATTAATTTCTATATGTACTTTTATTTTTTGATCAATAACTTCCATATGTACATTATCACTTTGCAATAAGTATCTCCTCTTTTTAGAGGACAAAATAAGTTCCTTGATGAATCTTCAAATTCCCAAATATTGGGGATATAACCAAACTTATTTTCTGATATCTTGAAAGTCCCAAATATTGACATTTGGATGGGGAGTAGTGCAAATCTAGGTTTCAATTTAATGAGGGGGCATTTTTAATCATATGATTGGTTTATAAATTTGTTATATTATTTATTTTTTTATAAAAAACATGTATATATATGATGAAAATAATTAAAAAATACTTGTATTTTTTGTTTTTCTTTATTTAAATTGGTATATTTTTTTTCTTTTAATAATTTATTAATTTTTAAAGAAAACAAGTCGGATCAAATCAGATCCAAAGATCCGAATATCTGATAGCATTTGAATTCAGATTGAGGCCTATCAGATCCAATCGGATCGGATCCGACATGAACATTGTCAAATCGGATTCAAATATACCCTGATTTGAATCCGATCCGATCCATTTGCATCCCTATATAATAGTGGGTTAGACATTTATAAGAAGAATTTAGGGGTTGATGCTGTTGCTGCTGCCTTTAATATTTCAGCATTCTTTAAGACTTTCAACACATGTGCATAATACATGCCTTTCTCTAGAATATGTGTGCCACTTAATGAGGAGTTCTTACCTAATAACTCTTTCACTTGGGTTATTAAAAGAGATAAGAGACAATTTGAGGGATCAGATAATAGAATCCAATCTGGGCATTTCTGACATGGATCTCCATTCAGATTCTATGACTTCCTCTTTATTATTCCATAATCCTTTTTATTCTACAATAATCTAAGATAGAACCATAGATTATATGCATCTATTGCATTCCAATGCAACTCCACAAAATGTTAACTAGTATTTGCATTTTTTTTGTCCCATTTATTCACAGGTTAAAGCATATTTGCAGCGGCAATGGACAAGAATTCTATGTGGGAAAGTGTCTCTTCAGGATTTTGTATTTGCAAAGGAGGTTCGCCTAGGTACTTACAGTGCTAGGGCTTCTTCACTTCCACCGGCAGCAATTGTTGCCACCAAAGCAATGAAAGCTGATCCCAGGGCTGAACCCCGCTATGCAGAAAGAATACCGTATGTTGTAATCCATGGTGAACCTGGAGCACGCCTTGTTGATATGGTTGTAGATCCAATGGATATTCTAGCAATTGATTCTCCATTCAGATTGAATGATTTATATTACATAAACAAACAGATAATCCCAGCACTGCAGCGAGTATTTGGACTTGTAGGGGCTGACTTGAACCGCTGGTTTTCAGAGATGCCCCGTCCTTACGGGTTAATTTTGGCTAAAAACCATTCATATGTACCAAATCCACAACGAGCCAGAATAGATTATTATTATCTTTCAAAACGCTGTATCCTATGTGGGGAGTTGGTCCAAGCTTCAAACAATTTGTGCGAGCCTTGTTCTAAGAAGGGCCCCACTGTTGCAACAGCAATAGTTGGTAGAACATCAAAATTGGAGAGGGAAATCCAACACCTTGCTGCTGTAAGTTTGTTATATATTCTCATAATCTACTTGGCATTTTATGTTTGTAGTGGTATAGATTCGTTTAGGAAATTATTCCAATGCAATGTGTTTTAAAACCTAGCTGGAGCACTGTGACTCTGAGTGACAATGTACAGTCTTGCATTTTTATCAAGTGATCATAAGAGACTTGCCTCACATCTAACAGATAAAATGTCAATAAGACGAGGATCTAGAGATTATCTTCATTTTCCTTTTCTACTTTATGCATGTGGAGTGAAAATATTGGTTTTTATAATTATCCTGTGGTGATGGGTTTTACGTGCCCTCTTAGATATGTCAGCATTGCGGAGGTGGGGATTGGATCGTAGAAAGTGGGGTGAAGTGCACATCACTAGCATGTCCAGTGTTCTACGAGCGGCAGAAAGTTCAGAAAGAACTAAAGGTTCTTTCTGCTGTTGCAAACGAGGCTGGATTCTACCCAAAATGCATGGTAGAGTGGTTCTGAAGCGTCTGTGTGATAATGCCTATTTCATTTTAAAGTAAAAAAGCATAAATTGCCTTGTTTATATTCCAGGTTCTTTTTTTCCCACTTGATCCAGTCTTTGTTCAGTGGTCATATTGCTATCTAATCCGTATCCATTGCCTGTTGTATATGTAAACATGGTAATAGTTCATAATAGTACATTATGTATATAAGCCATGTATATATATGTACTGTATAAGAGGGAATGACAAAATAACATGATTTGCTCTTGTCTTTCTACTCGGGATATGCATATCTCAAAAGCCCTTTTGGGTGGGCTACCACGGCTTTCCATGATTGTTGATTTTTGAAGTGAGCCATTAAACGCTGCTTAATTGATATTTGGGTGTTGGGGTGATGAAATTTAAAGCAGGACTCTTGTTTATTATTTTGTTTTCCATCCTTTTGGTGGGAGCATGCAATTAAAATGAAATCGATAGACTTTATGCATAGAATAGTATCTCTAGTCTCAGTAGTATGATGGTATGTTTTGTTAGTGGAAAATCTTGTGGATTTATAAGTTGTAAAAAATGTCTAAAGATCACCTGATTATCTCCTGTACTCAAATTTCTTTTTTCTTTGCTTACCATCAAGTGCCTTCAGTTCAGGGTCCCAAATAGATACGATTCCCAAGTTTATTATAAATTTATAATGGGGCATGGGTCCACTTAAAAAGGAAAATGCTATTTTCTTTTTCAGCTCTAAATCCCAGGACATCCAGGAAAAGGTCAACATCAGATAAGCAGCCCACAGGATGGCGGATAGGCCACCCTTTCAGTGCCACAAACTTAGTCATCTCTAAATCCCATCGTGCATAAAGACTCCTCTCTTAGTAACACTAAATTGTCCAAGCTTGAATTCCCAATTGAAAAATGCAGAAAAAGAGGGCTCTTGCAGAGCGGCAGGGACCAGAAAAAGAGTGATGCGGTGAACACAGCCTAATAATGACTATTTCTTTTCTCTCCGAACAAGTACGATAAAAGCTGAGCTGAAATATTAGCAACGCCACATGTTTCAGCAATCACCACCTAAGCTGCTACGAATAGTGTACCTAGATCCTGTACTGTATCTCAAATGACAATATTGTGTTTATGATACGTTTCCCACTTTGGTCTGATCAAAATTCACATGAGCCTACACCCTACTTGCCTACATCTAAAACATCCATTTGAAAAAAGTGGCCGGGCCCGTGAATGATCTAAAATCTTCTGCTGGATGCTAAGAAATCCAAAATCATACTCTTTCTTGGTTATAACTTTAAAGTGGGTATGCCCCAGTATTATTCTCAACCGGCCCTAGGGGGGTTTCAATGACTGGAAAACATTTTTGATTTTTCCAAACAGGGTTCTCGGTTTGTGAGACTGACTATGGTAAATGAAAGAATACGGTTTTATTAAACTATGTTTGATGATGCACAATCCGGCCGATCTTAGCTGTCAACGATCTTGCCTCTGAACTGAGTGGCAGGGACCTGAAACGGAAGAAGAAGAGAAGCTCCGGGGAGAACCCGGCGTAAGGGCTTCGAAGCTCAAGTTAGAGTCTTTCAAAGGCAAGATAGACCAGATAGCGCAAAAGTTAGCATACCTCGTTCTTGGGGGGGGAGGAGCCTTTTATAACCACCTCGTGCACTTACTTYCAGGCTTCTGTCAGATCGGGCATGATTACTTCTGAACTCTTGCCAGTTCGGATGTCACTTCCTCTGGCCGGACAAAACCGCCACTGCTCCTTTTGTCGGAGCCGTCTCTGCGGCTAGTAACGACGGTGGCAAGTGGTGGTAGCAGGAGGCCGTTTGAAGTGCGGCTGTCAGGCGTCAGATCCCAAATCAGTCAAGTGCGTCGCCCTTGGATACGGACGTCCTTGGTGTCAGGTACGTTTGGTCAGCCTGGTGTTTCGGAAGCGAAGTGTT